TTTCTCAAGACTGAGGTAGCTTGACTGCGTTAGGCCATGAGGCTCACCCTGCCCACCCACATGGGATCCATTTCAGCTTTAGCAGCTCCTGACGGTTTTACAATATCTCTCAGAGAATCTCTAGTTCTCTCTCCCATTGTATCATCTCCATATTAAGGTACTTTTGCTTATTATTTTCTATTGTATTTGTCTCAATGCACTGCCTTATGCTTTAGTGTAATACAGAACACTAGAAGCATATTGGGGGGTGCACTCGCCCGTTGTGGCCATGGAGGCCGCAGTTTCCAGTGTGGTGAGGTGAGTGGAAGAGCTTGGTGACCTGGCGCAGGCTCACATCCAGCAACTGAGCGAAGCTGCGGGTGAAGATGATCATTGCTTAATTCGGGCTGCCTCTGCAGCTCTAGAAAAGTTGAAACTCTTGTGTGGAGAAGAGAAAGAATGTTCGAATCCATCCAATCTTCTAGAACTTTACTCACAGGCTATTTTGGACATGACATATTTTGAGGAAAACAAGCTAGTAGATGAAGATTTTCCTGAAGACTCTTCTTCACAGAAAGTGAAAGAACTGATCAGTTTTCTTTCAGAACCAGAAATTTTAGTTAAAGAAAATAATATGCATCCAAAACATTGCAATTTGCTTGGAGATGAGCTACTGGAATGTCTCTCCTGGAGACGAGGCGCTCTACTGTACATGTATTGTCACTCTCTGACTAAAAGAAGAGAATGGCTCCTGAGAAAATCTAATTTACTTAAAAAGTGCCTTGTTGGTGGGATTAATTACTTGCTACAGATGCTACACTACTGGTTAAATGAAGGAGTTTCTTTCCAAGACCTGGACACAGCTAAATTACTGAGTGCAGGAATATTTAGTGACATTCATTTGCTGGCTATGATGTACAGTGGAGAAATGTGCTACTGGGGTTTGAAACTTTGTGCAGATCAACAGCCAGATAGTCATGAAGTAGATACTGGTATTTCCAGAGCCAGCAGCATTACAAAGAATCACTGGATTTTCGAGAAGTAGGAGAAAAAATTTTGAAGAAGTATGTGTCTGTGTGTGAAGGACCCCTGAAAGAACAAGATCGGAATACAACAAATGCAAAACAAACTTCAAACTTTTTCCAGCATCGCTGTACCTAGTAGTTCATGTAGTACTTTTTAGTGAGGAAGACAAAAGACCTGTGAAATGGATAAAAGGTTTAACAGAAAATAAGGCATATTGATACTAATTCTAAAAATATTACCCTACATAAAGCTACCAAGTAGGTCACCTTTGTTAAAATACTATCATCATCTTTCATTATACATTCTTAAGCCTACGTAGAAATAGTTGTTTAATTTCTAAACTGGTGTATATATTATTCTATCTCTCTTTGAACTCTAGATATCCTGTCACTAGTAAGGAAAACCCATGTTAGCTTTGGTGTGGTTTGTTTTCCCCTAGTATGTTAGTTATTTTAAAATGTGATAAAGTTTATGTAACACAAAATTTAAATTTCCTGTCCTGAAGTTTGCCCTGCTTCAAGTATTAAAATCAGTTCGTCTCATTTGTTTGACTACCTAATGATATAAATGTAGGCAAAAATGAAAAATTAAGACTAATATTTAGACTTAATTTGTAATCATGTAAATAACAAAAGGCTCCTCAAAGGAATCATTTGTGTTTATTTTGCCATGTATTACTAGTCTTGTTTAAAATTTTTACTTTTAGATATTTTATAAAAATGTAAAAAATTATTTTCCTATTTTATTTAAAATACATGTTTTCTCAAGTAATGAAGATGAAAACCAACTTAAGTTAGTCCATATCCTATTATATGTTTTCATACTGTTTTGAAATTTTAATAGTTTTTGCTTTTAATAGTTGGTGAAATACTAAAGGTCAAGGAGCCTAACTTGATAACTTGCTCACTGTCCTTCTGTCTACCTCAACTCCTGCTGTTGTCTTGGGCTGATGTGTTTGAAACCTTGCTATAATCTAGACTCTGCCCAAACGACTTTATCACATCCCAGCAATCTCCTCCGTGGGTATACCTTGGGCCCCAGCTATCTTGAGTTAGACTTCTGAAATCTGCAGTTTGAGTAACTGATGGCAATTCTTACCCTACCAGCTTTTTTGTCTTTAAATTGATTGACTTATTTTTCTTTGCTTTTATTCTACACTCAGTGGCTTCTTCACAGCATTCCTAAGTGTCCCCTAGCTCTACAGTGTCATCCTCTTCCAGATGCTTGTGCTTCCCTGAGTGTGCGCGGCTTCATGGAGGCGTCATAGGAGCTGCTGTTACCAGTTGCTCCCTCTCCTGTCTTACCCCTCAACCAACTCTTACGCCCTTGATATGAAATATATCCCCTTATTGACCTTTTCTAAGATAGTTCGTGTGAAGAGCATACAGTCATTCACACTGAGACCACTGAAAGTGTCTCACTTCAGTTTTTGAAAAGCCATCACGAAAAGCCTTTGGTTCTCGCTAGGGTGGCCTTCACATCTTGTCCCACTGTAGCTGAGTCAGAAACTTCCCTTTTTCAGACTCTCCCCTTCTCCCTACCATAGAGAAACTTAAGGCTAGAAGGTCAACTAATATTA